TATATATATATATATATATATATATGTGTGTGTGTGTGTATATATATATATATATATATATATATATATATATATGTGTGTGTGTATATATATATATATATATATATATATATGTGTGTGTATATATGTATATGTGTGTGTATATATATATATGTGTATATATGTGTGTATGTATATATGTATATGTGTATATATATATGTATGTGTGTGTTTGTTTGTATGTATGTATGTGTGTGTATGTATATATGTGTATATGTATGTGTATATGAATATATATGTGTGTGTATGTATATGTATTATGTATGTATATATATATATATATATATATATATACACACACCTTGCTACGTGACTGGGAGACTTGAATGTTTTATTTTAAATCTTTTATGTACATTTGAAAAACAGCCACGGGTAAAATTTACCCCGTGGCGGTTCTAGTGTTAAGGCAAAATGCATGAAGATATAGCTCTATTACATAATACTAGACTGATATATATCAGGGAGATCATATTTGACCATTTTGATCTGAATACATGTAATGTTAGGTCAGTATTTTTACACCAGCACAGTGTTAAATTTTTGAATCTGCCCACCACCTCAAAGCATTTTAATTGCAGACTGTTAGATTTATTTTTAAATTGTTTACATAAAAAATAGGGGAACAGTTTAGAAATTATTAGTTATTAATAATTATTAGTATTTTCACCATACACATTGTTTCAAAGCACTGTAACACACTGTCACAGTGTCTGGTTGTTGTGCCCTAGACTGACCAATTGATGGCGCTCTCCCCTTTCACTGTTACTTGTCATGGACACCGTTTCCCATAGTTCTTTGCCCGGTTATTTTCGTTACTGATATTCATCAGCTGTTGGTCATTTACACATTAACTCATCACGAAAGAAGTGTCCCAAAGTTGAGTGTGCATGTTCTTTGAATATAAATTCCATCGTCATCTGCGCGCAAGTGATTCTGGGATATGGTAGGGTGCGAAGTGTCCATCAGATGTACACTTAATTTTCCTGGGAAATGGAGGGTGCATTTGAAGTTGCTTTCGAAATACGTCAGCCTTCGTCGCGCCTCGATGACGCAATCGGCCTTGGAATGCAGTCTTCGGAGGGTGCATTCTGAATTGGGATGGCTTACGTCGTGACGCTGTGATGCAATCGCACTTCAAATGCACACTTCGGAGTCCACGCACTTCAGTTTGGGACAGCCTTCGTCGCGACGCTGTGACGCAATTGCACTTCAGATGCGCACTCCGGAGTCCACGCACTTCAGTTTGGAACACAGCTGAAATATACCATGCTTAATTTGTCTTTTATTGCTGCTCTATTGTACCCATTTCGTTGTGTTTTCCCTGTGTTTTGGATTACCTTTTGTCACGTTCTTGCTGTGTTTTGACTTTTTATTTTGAATTAAAGCTGCACTTGGATCTGCTATTTTGTTTTCCTGAGTCATTCCATGACAGAATAATGCAGCCATTTCAAGATCCAGCAGTTTTTTAGCACTTGGACAATGGATATCCGGATTTCTCTTCTTGCCACTAAGAAGGAACAGAAGGCTCGACTTCAGGCTTTAATGGCTTTGCGTCAGCAAAGGATGGAGGTGGGAGCCTGCGCCCAGAAATTTTGGACGAGGGTGGAGAGACTGAATTGTCAGGGTGAGGACATTAAAGAAATTTTCAACCTCTCTTTGGATGAACCTTTATTACAATGGGAGATGGATCAAGTGATGTCATTGGACTTCTGGAACTTCTCCCAGTATTTGAGGTTTCGTCAAGAGGGGAAAGTGAGACACCACCACCACAGATCACCTGCAGGGACTGTTCCATCCCCTCCTCCCTTATCAAGTCAAGTTCAGGACCCTCCATTGATTTCCACGCCGAAACGAAGGTCGAGAAGGAGGGGGGCAGCAAGGTCTGCTCTGGTGGTCCTGGAGCACCCAACTGCGGTGATCTTTAGTCCGGTGGTCCTGGAGGACCCGACTCTGGTGGTCTCAAGTCCGGTGGTCCTGGAGGACCCGACTCCGGTGGTCTCAAGTCCGGTGGTCCTGGAGGACCCGACTGCGGTGATCTCTAGTCCGGTGGTCCTGAAGGACCTGAATCTGGTGATCTCAAGTCCGGTGGTCCTGAAGGACCTGACTCCAGTGGTCTCAAGTCCGGTGGTCCTGGAGGACCCGACTCTGGTGGTCTCAGATGTCGCCACAGAGCCGCCCAATTTTACTGCTGCTGCCATATTCAAGAAGGTTGTCTTTGCCTTTCACCTCAGGGCTCTACTGCGTGCATGGGCTGCCTCAGAGTCCACTCCAGATACTCCCTCAGTACATGCTCCAGTCCGGGAGCTCTCAGAGTCCACTCCAGAGCCCGCTTCAGTCCGGGAGCCCTCACAGTCCACTCCAGAGGCCGTTCTAGTCCGGGAGCCCTCAGAGTCCAGTCATGAACTTTCTCCAGTTCAGGAGTCCTCAGAATCTACTCAAGAGCCCGCTCAAGTCCAGGAGCCTTCAGAGTCCACTCCAGAGTCTGCTCCAGTCAGGGACCCTTAGACTCCACTTTAGGCCCGAAGGCCGTCCCAGCACCATCCAAGCTCCTTGGCCTGCAGGCTTTGTTCGCTTTATCCTTGTCGTCAGCTCCTCCCTGGAG